ATACTACGCTCTTCCGATCTTAAACGGGTAGTTTGGGGGGGGGTATACTGGTGGGTTAAACAAACAAGACTTTCACCAAGCAGACCGCTGTTCCTGTCTTGTGTGAAACCAAAAGTAACTTATTTTTCCTAAACTTACGTGACGCACTCACGTAAGTAACTTCAGTTACGTAAAAAACGCACTTACTTTGACCCAAACCTTGACCTTTAGTAGTTTTGTTACCTAAACTTTATCAAACTGTAGCTATTTCACATCGTTAACCACCTGTTTAAAACTACGATAGTTATGTTTCGGTACGAGGATGTTTCTGTTATTCATGAAAAGCTCCTGTGGATTGTAGAAAAGGAACAAATGACCGGCGTGGTCGTATGAACTGGAGGAATATCGTATAATTTGAGCTTTTTTTGGCCTCAAACTGTTGCTTGAATGAAACGTGTGAGAAGTTCAGCTGCTAACAGCACACAGACTTCATGTATCTTCAACGATGCATCGTATTTTATAAACCCGTCTGATATTTTTAAATATAAAATCTGAAAAGTAAAAAGTACAACATGCAGCAGACTAGAATAATAAAGTAGCATAAAATGGAAATATTCAAGTAAAGTACAAGTACCTCAAATTTGTTCTTGACTTTGTGACTGATGGACAATATTGATAACTGATGAGTAATGAGTTCATTATGAGTAATGAAGCTTCAGTTCTATAGATGTAGCAGATGGGCAGGGCTATGTGAACCTGGAAGTAGGGATTGGTCTCATTATAGTTTGATTAATATCAATATCGGTACGGCTCACCACATACTTTTGTAAAAATGTTCTGAAAGAAAAGAACTTTTTTTTTTTCTGGCAAAGATAAAATGTCAAAAATGTTATTTTTTATTTTTTGTAGCATCAAGAACTATCGCTTCTGATATCAAATAACTTCCACAGGTCTCTGCGTTCTGATCATTTAGTTTTGAATTTCATTGAATGAACAATGTTTTAACATTTTCCTATCAGTTTTACATCTACGCTCAGGTGGTTCCGATGTATTAGTGTACTGAAACACCACATGTTGGGTCCATCCCTTTCATCTTGAGTGAGTGATGGAGTGTCCCTTAACGTGTGTTTGGGCTGCCTGGTATCACAGTGTGGTCCCTGATATATCTGAGCGGACAGCGTTATTGATCAGAATAAAGATCGCTTCACAACATACTGACGTGTCTGGCTTTCAAAACTCACATGTTGACGTTATTTCTCTTTATAAATGAAATCTAAATAAAACGTGATGTGTTTTCAGTAAATTGCAGACTAAAGCGACACAATGCAGCATTGTTGCCCGTTTGAATCAGTTTACGATTAGATATAAATGATCTACGGTCTTGTTTTCTATATGTCACCCTTTGCATGACGTGGTAGTTCTACTTTATTCTAGTTCTGTGGATGCTGAAAGTTGAGAAGCAGCGTCAAAACATTCACAAGCACACGTCCTCCGTCAGAACGAGAGCTTGTGGTCAAATGTTCAGTTTGAGCTCACAAGTGAAAACACAACTCTTCTGTCCAACAAACATCTGGTTATTAGCATTAATGGGACAGTGATGCTTATTATTCTTTTCCCAAAACAAAACCAAAGAAAAAGTATTTACCTGCAGCCATGTTGGGAAAACTCTAAATGTAATACTCCTCTTAATAAGTTAAAAAATAATTTAAACAACACATTTCAAATGAGAATTGTGAACAAAAACAGTTACAGACCGTTAACATTTTTTTTTAAAATTCTGTTGTATGTTTTAAAAAACCCGATACAACAACAACTACAAATAAAGAAAAGAAGAGAGGAAGTGGTCACATACGAGGAGACATCATTGTATACAAAAGCCGAGTGGTTCAGCTCAGTGTTAGTGACCAGTGATATAAACTCTCTGAGGGAATATTTCATATTAGTCAATAAATATGAGAGTATACAATAGAATAAGGAGTAAGGGGACAAAAAGGAGATCAGGAGACAGGAAAGGACGGGAAACGCTCAATAGTCTCTATGGCTTTAACAGGCTTTGTGGCCCAAATAACCTTTAACATCAGCATCATCATACAGTAGCTACCAACACCCACCAAAACACCCGGGAACAGTCGCTCTGCAACGGGCACAAGAATAAAAACTCACAACGAAGTCGACAAAGTGGGATTATTGGAAAAAGGACGATGCGACACTCAGACCTGCCGGGACAGTTTGGATGTTCTGCTGAATTCGACTCTGATGCTGTTTTATGTCTCTGAGTGCACTTTGTGGTGTTATTTAATACGAGACTGTCCTCATCCAGAGAGGACATGCCACAATTTAATTTGTCTTTGATTTCTGTAGAGCATCTGGGTTCAGTTTACGATCGGACAACGTGTAGACTGGCAACGTGGTGAAGAGGGAGCTGAGCCGGATGGCAGGTCTCTAGATTCACCAGTCCGTCGACATTCTGACCGTCTCCTCTGGTCGTGAGCTTTAAGGTGGTGACCGAAAGAATGAGATCAGAGATACGAACGTAGGCTGTCTGGGTTCAGAGCCTGCTAGAGATGTGAGGAGCTCAGTCATCTGGAGAAAACTCTCTTTAGAGGTTTTCTGGGTACGTCAAGAGGCCCCGGGATAGATCAGTGAAGCCAAAAGTCTTGCTTTGGAAATCTGATTCTTTCTTCTTTCTTCAAAGTGACCAATCTCTACCATCTATTGCTCCGACAGTCGCTGTTTCTGGCTGCTGGATACCTGTAATGCCATTAGCTCGGGCAAAATTAACAGTTTAACATGTTTAATATTTTCTGCTTATGGCTTTCATTTTAATGCGGTTGTAAAAGTTAGGGTATGTACACTTTGCCTGTTTTTTAATGTGGTGGTTTAAAACTTTAAAGCTTTTTTTTGTTTCTTTGTTGGTGTCAGGAGCAGACTGAACATTCAGTTCTGGAGGAGGTGTTCTTCACTGTAGATCTCATTCATATCCTCAACTTAGCTAACCAGTCAACAGATAGTACCTACGAACTGCACAGAGAGACATAAAGACACACATCGGTTGGTAAAAACCATTTCCCCAAGATTTTCTGTAACGCAAAGGAGGCATTAGCTGATGCAGATTGTGACGCACGAGTAGACTGTCTGAGCTATGGCTGTGTTGAAGACCACTTAGCTACAAAGGGGGGGGGGGGAGTAGAGAGGAGTCAGCGACCCTGAGCGGTTTATTAAACCAGTGAACATCTGCACGTGACTCATGCAGCTTTGGCGCATAAGCAACGCAAAAATAAAGCATCACAGTAGCCGGATGGAGCGATCCATCGCTCTCTGTACAGGATTGTCTACTTTTGCACACAAAGTCACAAACATCCCACAAATGCTGCCAAATAATCAGTACTGGCAGGATCACGAGTGACCCGACTTTGAGGATTTCTTTGAGGATTTCTCACGAAACTTTGTTTTTATCCACTCGAAGAAAAAACGCTGACACAAACGTAGAAAAAGGTCAAGAAAGCAGGATGGAGGGCATTATTTCTTTATCTTCCATTTGTTCTTTAATTTATTTTCCCCATGTGGAGCTTAGACGGATAGCAGCATGAAATTGTGACAACCTTCGCTCATTGCATTTCTGATTACCCATGAGCCTCTGCAACCGGGTGTCTGGCTGCTCTTAATCGGTTAACAAAGTGTGGCAGCAGGTTTGGAGTTAAATATGTCAGTTTGTATGAGTTTTGCAGAGGAAGTGACAACTTCTTTCTGCAGTTTGTGACTGAGCAGCACTATGAAATTACAACCAGCATTTTAGTCGCTCTTTCTTAAGGTTTCTCTTTGTGGGCTCTGGGCCGAGCCAAGCCGGGCTGACCACGACCAACCCGTGACGGTCACGACTCCAACCAACGGAAAAACCTCGTTGGTTGCTGCACATGTCATAAAGTCACACACGTTCCAATCATCCCACTTTGACATTGTTGCGCGGTCAAGAATAAATAAGAGACGAAGAGGCAGAGGGAGAAAGAGAAGTGAGAGAGTAAGAAGTAAAGAGTGTAGAAGAAGGAAAATAAAAGTGCCCTTCCATCTAAAAGAACCAGCCTCGTTCCCAGAAGCTACCTCAGTGATGCAAACTCCTCCTTCATTAGTACGGCGCAAACTTCTGTCTCTCCGGCTTCTTCATCCCGTTGGCTGAGGATGAGATCTTGGCCGTGTAGGACGCCAGGGCCGCTGCCGCCGCGTGAGCCTGAACCGGGACGCCCGCCACCGTCTGCATGGAGCCCGGCAACATGGCAGCCGCCGCTGCTGCTGAGGTGGGAGGGGTGGAGAGTGCCAGGTAAGGAAATGATTTCATTCCCAGGAGGCTGGAGAGGGGGAGGGCGTAGGGGCCGCCCAGCATTTGAGCGTGGGGCATGGCGGCGCCCATCGCTGCCAGGGGGGAGGAGGAGGACGAGGAGGCGGGGGGGGCAGGCTGGGTGAAGCTCATGGTCAGGTCAACGGGAGACGGCATGGAGGAGGACTGGGCGGTGGATTTGGCGGTCTCTAAACTGGAGGAGGGGAGGGATGGGGGGGGAAGGGAGGGAGGTGGAGGGAAGGGAAGGAGGGTGGAGGGAGGGGGAGGAGAGGGGTAAGGGGGAGGGGTTTTTGGATGGAGAAGGGTTAGAGGGGTTAAATAAAAGACATGTTAAAAAAAAGACGAGTAAAAAACAAAACCTAAAAGAAAAAAAACAAACAGGATATTTTGGAGAGTAAAAAAAATGAAATAAAGGAAATTTGACAAAACTCAAATCATAAGACAGGTGTGTTTTGCTGGAGGTTGCAACAGATTATTGTAGGGGAGTTCGCCGTACGGATGGGGGGTGTGCTGTATAAGTTGGGGTGATGGCTTGGGAGGGGGCTTAGGGAGGAGGAAAGACAACCAGTGTAGATTTATTAGGATGGAAGCTTTGTCAGAGATGATTCAAAAAACAGGAAGAAGAAGCACAAACACAAAATCTCTTTTAGAGAGCTGAAGTCCAGCCCTACGTCAAGGTTAGCGTCTGTGGGCTAACCTTCATTTCTCAGTGTTCTCTGTGGAAACACGGTCTTTGTTAATAAACTGGGGTTTTCACATTCTAAGCAGATTAGACGTCAATGACAGAAACCGACATTAACAATGAGTCTGAAACAAAGGATGCTAATGCTAATGCTAACGACAACATTTACTTTGATCTTGTTGTTAAATGCTACGAGCCAAAAGTGCAGCAGACTCATTTCTTTCTTTCTTTTATCTAATACCACATAAAAACGAACATTAAACAAAACAATGTAAATAATTATAATATATAATAGAATATGCAAGTGAGGCCGAACAGTTTTTAATTCAAACAATCAAATAATTAATTACAACGCAAGAAATCGTAGCTTCTGGCGTTCACACAGGACCCGATCAGACGTCTGGTTGAACATCATGTTTGTTTGACTCGTAGAAAACGGATTTTTCAACAACCGTCGAAATATTACACGACTTGCTTCAGCAGATGTCTCCTTCTGTAACGCGTATGAATGCACCTCACCGGGTGACATTCATATTTAGACACCTGCGTTTAAAAGATAGCGAGTCCGACGTTCCAGAGCGAGGGAAGGATGAAACAGAACCCTTTTCTAAAGACGAGAGGACGGGTGCAGGTCCATTTCAAGCTCAACAGCATTAAACAGAAAAAGAGATGAATTCTATACCTCACCAACTGTTGAGTTTAGATGCTGTATTTTCTGTATCTTCTTGCACTCAATCAAAGATCATCGAACAGCAAAAGTACCGTCCACATTTACACAACACAAGCGTTCCTAAGTGCCTTTATTCCAGAGCCGTGAGATAAAATAGTGCGTCATGTGACGAGGAACATCCAATCAGAGCTGGCAGATATCTCTTCTTTTCTTACGTGAATAACGGTCAACGGTACATATCTGAAGGAGGAGAAGTTTATCATTTCATTCAAGGTGCTGGAAATATACTTTTCTTGTCAGTGAGGTTTATTGCTTGAATACCGGAATCTTCAAAAACATTGAATTTAAAAGGTTTGGAAATAAATAATTTGTCCCGATAGAATCTCTGAAATGATTGGTAGATTGTTTTAAATGTAAACGCACTGCAACCAAATCACCAGCAGGATATTTCACCAGGGTGTCCCAAAGAGAAGACGATGGGCATGAATAATGACTTCATGAATGAGTTACAGTACATTGTGTACACGCACGCACACACACACACCCATTATTATTCCCTTTTTAATAATAATAATAACAGTAACTTCTTATCTTATTTTGATGTTTTTAACTATGTAATACTTTCTTATCTTATAAGGTTTTGTCAAGTATGATCTTGGACTTTAACTTGACTTTGGAGGAAACCTGCTGAAAAGGCTGGAAAACTACCAGATAATCTTTATTAATAATGTACATTATTTTATTGTAACGTCTTAACATGTTGGGGAGTGAAATGTATCATATTTCTCTCTGCATGTAAATGCAAATGCAGTGAAGTATAAACATAAATACTAATTTTGTACTCATGAATGGACTACATGTCGACCATCTAAAGAGTCATTTCATTCAGCTGCTGTTCTGAGGTCAGCCGGTGGAGCTAACTCTGACAGGAAGTCTTATCTGTCTGTTGACTGACTGGAGGAAAAACAGACAAACTGTAATGGAAAAGAGAGAATTTGTGGTTGATACTTCAGCGTCGGTCTCACCTTCTGTGACCCGACATTTCAGACTGACTGAGGCCGACCCCCCCCCCCCCCCCGGCTCTATGTGTGATATTCTCCCGGCTGTCAGGCAGAGTGCTAAATGAAATATCAATTTCGTCCAGAGTCCAAGCATGAATTTGCATATTGATGGCGGTCTGTGTCCGTCACATCGAGAGCTTAGATGAGACGGTGAAGGAGAACCGGAGTTGTTCTCTGTGTTAGAGCTTCATCTCTCATTGTTCTCTGTTAGAGCTTCATCTCTCATTGTTCTCTGTGTTAGAGCTTCATCTCTCATTGTTCTCTGTTAGAGCTTCATCTCTCATTGTTCTCTGTGTTAGAGCTTCATCTCTCATTGTTCTGTGTTAGAGCTTCATCTCTCATTGTTCTCTGTTAGAGCTTCATCTCTCATTGTTCTGTGTTAGAGCTTCATCTCTCATTGTTCTATGTGTTAGAGCTTCATCTCTCATTGTTCTCTGTTAGAGCTTCATCTCTCATTGTTCTCATGTGATGCATCCTGCAGATGCAAAACAAGAGGCACAAACTGCACAAGAGATGTTGCTCCACTTAACAAAACTAAAAGTTGAATTGTCTCTGCTGCCATTCAAATGCACTTAACGGTAAAAGTCGGACTATTTGACAGACGGTTCTGTTCTGCAGGAACATCGTACGCGCTTCTAAAAGAACCGAATCCGACTTCACTTTTAACAGCTTGTTCATCAAAATGAGCAACAGCTGCTCTATTAACCAAATTCATTTTATCCGAACACATTCGCAAAAAAGTAAAAAAGTTACAAAAGAATAATCACGAAAAATAACAAATGATCAAAATAAAAAGCTTGAATGTTTTTAACATGAAAACAATAAAAATCAACCAAACAAAAAGCGATTATCGACATCGTTGTCGATTCCTTTCTGTCAATCCAATAAACGTTTCTGTACATGACTCTACTTCTGTTGGGTAATATAATTCATAACAAAATATCACATTTGAGCTCTTTGTGTGAGATGCCATGAAGACGGTTTGGTTCTGTGGCTCATTAATAACTCAGTGAAAAGCAACAACACAGCTCATCAAACTATTGACTTCATGTGAAGCAGTAACAGACTCCGACACTCTGAAAGGTTGTGCGGCTTTGAAGTAGTCCCGTGTTTCAGTTATTAACCGCGTGAAATGATTGAACGTAATGATTCGGGGGGAGAGAGCTTGACAGCTTCTTTTCATCTGTGATCTAAACACCATCTCTCATCAGACTGTTCATTAAAAACACCCACTGAGGAGGACGAGGAGCTGAAGCTAGTGAAAGAGAAGCCGTTGACCTGCAGGTCACATGACACAGCAGCTGGTTTTGGATGCTTACCACGAGGTGATCAGGTACTGAGCCAGGTTGATGGCGATCGGCGTGCCGGTGATGGTGACGTGCCGGTCGCTGGTGCTGTCGATCTGACTGCCGATCTTGATCTGAGCCCCCGACACCTGCCGGATCTCGTTTATCTTGGTGCCCTGGCGACCGATGATTGAGCCAATCAGCTGCGGGGGGGGGGAGAGAGGCGGAGATGATAGATAAATAGAATACATAGATAGAAATAAACGTTCTAGCTTTGACAGTGTTGGTCCTTCTGTCCGTACTTCTCCAGATGTCTTTTGTTCGTTGCTCATTTTTGTGCATGAACCAAAATGTTGGAGAAATTAACATTTTATATGAAAAGTGAGAGCATGACTTAAGTTATTTCAATGCATCCTGAGCCTCACGTCATCACAATCAGTCCAATAGCTGTTGAGACGTTTAACTAAAAAAACACACAAATGTGACCCTCAAGGTTTGAGAAACAACAGAACAAAGTTAAAAACAATTACATCCATTTTAAATTGACCTTTGGGCACAAAAGTGTTAATGTGTGTTGCACAAAATAATAGAAGCAGGTTCCCCAAATGTAGTGTTCGAATGAGTCAAATAATGACGAGAGAGTTCTGCAGAGATGATATCTCCACCTCCTTCTTCTCTTATCTTTCAAAATAAAAGCCCTGGACTTACAATACTCACAGAAGAGTATTTTATAATATTCTTCTGATTTTAAACAAAATTGATTTGACTTTGTAAGTTTTGTCAACAATTTATTTGTGTTTCTACTTCCCACCATATAGACGTTGAAATGTAAATGTGTGTGTTCATGGATGCATGAAGCTCCTGTGAACGACTGAATGAAGGATTCATGAACCTCCGCCTTGTTTCCGTCTATTCTTCTCGTTATCTGTCGAAGACTACGGAGCAGCAACAGGTGGTGACCTCTGACCCTCGTGTCTATCCTCGTCCCACGTCGTCACGTCAACAATAGACGGACTGATCTCGCTGTCAGCTCCGGCCGTAAATACGTCTCGTTACCGTTTCTTTTCTTTACTGAGAGGCCAAACACGCGCTGACCGTGTGTCCAAGTGTCCAGAAGGACTGAAGACGAGATTCATAAACAATAAATATGACGCCTCTGCTATGATGCACAGGAACTGTTGGTGGAACAGCAGTTATGACGGGCGTCCGTATGACAACCAGCGTGGTGTGAATGTAACACAATTAAACAATAACAATGATGTCTGTGTTCACTGATCCCCCTCAAGGAGGTTTGGTGGAAAGATCCAAACAGATAATTAATTTACTCTCATTAGCCTGAAATGTTTCACAGTAAATAACTTTGTCATTTACAGTTAATTATCTGTTTACTTGTTATGAAAATGAAGAGATGTTAGTGTACGAACACTTTACCTCAGAGGTTATGATTCAGTTAATGACTCGTAGTGAAAGTCAAATGTAATTCTCTCTCCACTGCATTATTATTATTATTATTATTATTATTATTATTAATGTTTTCTTGTGATTACAGTGAAGTAATTTCTTGATTTTAATATTCAAACTTGTTTTCATGAATCAAAACAAGATGTCGGAACACGTTTTTCATGATTTTCGGCACAACTTCAGGTAAACGAAGCTTTGTTCTGACGTCATGGAGACAAACGCAACAAATATAAATTTGTTTTTTAAACTGGGAAGAAAAAAAAAAGATGTTAGATATAATAAAAAAGAAAGAAATATATATATATTAAAGTCAAAGGGAGGAGCCTAACACAAAGACTTTGGGGGAGACGTATGTAGTCAGTGATTCTGGAGAACCATATTTGACGTCAACACACAAACTAGAGACGCTGGTAGAGACCTGTCAATCACTGTGTAGCCCCGCCCTAAAGCATCC